TTTTGGACTCAGCCCACCTGTACCCAGGTGAATAAACAGCCATGTTGCTCACACAAAGCCTGTTTGGAGAGTCTCTTCATTCAAAGCATGCATTTTAACACTTCCCTGAATCACTTCTGAGACCAGGGATTCTCTCTAAGCTCCTGTTCCTATTCACAGATGGAGCCCTGGGGTTCAGGGAAAAGCTGTTGCTTGCCTAGCAGGTAAGTGAAGGGGTAGAATTTGGAACAGGGCCTCTGAATCTGGCCCTGCTTTCAGAGTGATGCAGTCCCTCACTCCCAAGCGTATCATGAGGAGATTGTAATACACGTGGTTAAGAGACCACTGTGCAGCACTGTGATAGAGGTTAGAGACAGGTGCCATGACTATGAAATCTTTTTCCCATATACCATGCATTTAGTATTCTAGCAAGTGGAGAAGATAGCCATAACCCTGAAGTTTTGATTACTCTCTTACCCAGCTGGCTTTTTTTCCAAGAAATTTGTGGCCTACATATTTTCAATGTTTGATACTGTCACTGGATTCTTCCACCTCTTTTTTGTGAAACTTTCTTACACTTTTAGGAAGGATTTATTTGCTATAATTAAAAAAAAAAAAAAAAAAAAAAAGCAAGCAAACATGAGAAGGAAAAAAAAGGCTCTGTGTAACCAAGGAGTTTGTGTGGTGTTAACACCACAGAGGTCGTTTATAAAATCTGCCTGATTTATTTTCTAATTTGCTGACTCTAGGCCAAGCCCGCTGCCTCCTGGCCTGGTCTCTAAGCACATGTACAAATGGACACAAGCAGATGCAAATCAGTGTGTTGTCATCATGGTTGGCTCCAGATCCCACATCATCAGGCAAGGGAAACCCGGTGAAGCGGGGCTCCAATTTGGGGCACTGAAAAGACTGGCAGAGGCCGGAGCATCAGGGAAGCCATTTGAAAACTGGACTTCATTACATGGGCAAAACTGACTTTGCACCTTCAATGCACATTTAAATTTTGTTCATACTTCACATCCTGGGCAGGGCATAGTGCTGGCACACACAGACACCTTGCAATAAATGTTCACAGAGAAATACAAAACGTAGATGGGGCAAAGGGAGGGAAGGAAGGAAGGGAGAAAGAAGGAAAAGAGGAAAGAAGACAACAAGTCAGGAATTCAAAGGAGTGAAGCAAGAAACTGGTAGAGGAAGGGAAGAGGGGAGAAAAAAAGAAAGTGATAAAAGAAGATAAACAGGAGAGAATTAAAAGGAGAAAAGAATATGGAAGGAAAATGAGGGAAGGAAGGATAGAAGAAAGGGTGGGTAGAAAGAAGAGAAGGGAAATAAATGTAGCAATGTTAGCTAAAGCATTCCAGAGGAAAGCCACCAGAAGAAGCATGGACTCGAGGATACCTTGCTATTAATCATGACTCTCACAGACTTCACCCTTCTCTAACTCCTGTCTCACAAAGTATCTTCCCTACCCAATTTAGCACTTCATTAGCTCACCTCTGATTCCCAAGTTATTTCATAACTGGGCTACAAGCTTGTTGAGAACATGGTTCTAACTTAGATTTCTTTTGTACACTGACCATCTCCTGTTCTTGTCTGGTCCCTAATACCGTGCTGGGTACATGAAAAGCAATGTAATCCCAGCATTCATTAGGTCCCTGCCAACATTACCAACTTCTCTCACTGTGGTGTGCAACTTCTTTTTTGTTCTTTATGTAGTCAAGAGTAACAATACTTCCGTATTTTTATCTCTGCTGTCATATATTTTCCAGAAGTGCCATAATATCTAAAAAACACATTCATTATAGTCTGTCTAAAGAATCACTCGTTGATATTACTGTGACAGGTTGTTCTTAAGGAGAACCCCAGAATATGCATACTATTAAAGATCTTTCAGGTGAGTAATCTCACAAACACTACTAAGAACTTTTCACCCACCCTCACCACCTGGCTAGATCCTGGGAAAGAATGCCATCCAATTAAAGCAGGATTTGAATCTCCTTTCCATAGCCAAGACATTTAAATTTTGTGTTTGCAGAGGTAGCATGCAATTGATTTTTCCCCTCTGGTGGGAAATGTAACACATGCCCATGACCTCCCAAGCTGGTCACGGTGGTGTCGTGCCAAAATAGCAGGTCCTTCTATATCCTCAAACCTCTGTGGCCACATTACACCGAGTCTGGTTTTCAGAACTAAATTCTCCTCACTGTGGGCCTTGGGATGAAGCTGCAGGTGTGTAGAGGGGGCAACCAGACACACTTGTAAAACTGAGCCTTCATCTCCTAAAGGATAGATAAACCGGGAAGAGCAGACAGATCCCTCATTAGCATATGCTAATGCTCAAGTCAAATGTGTCTTCTGGGTTGCTTAGGACAGACAAGAATTTGGGCCCGATGGGTCCTGGGGCTGACATAGAAGATTGCATTGATCAGAAACCATTTTCACGATAGTGTTGCCTGTTTTGAAGAGTTTGCCTGCTGTGCTCTGGGCATGATTTTTGACTCAGCAAAGCTTCAGAAGCCATCGCCCCCCTAGCCCTTGCCCTGTCTTCCTCTGAATCAATCTTTCTGACTTTTTCAAGTGTTTCTGATACAAGAGAACTGAGTGAATGAGAGTGGGTAATTTAGAAAAGACCAAGAAGAGAAATACGCAAATGTCATTATCAAGAGCAGGAATAATATTTAACTGGAAAATAGCCTATTATTGGGCTATACGGTCTTAGGAAGCCATGTGCAATGTACATGCCCAGGATAATTTAAATGAATTCCTTCCATTCGTTGTCATTATTATGCCCATATGTAGCCTTTGGGGAAATCCTAACAACAGTGACATTTATTGGACTGGGTTGAGCCTGCTTTCCCTGTTCTCATCAGTACAGGGTGGGCACTGGATTTTGCTCTCTGGGTTAAAAAGTCTAAATATCCTCTCAGCTTCAATGGAATAGAAAGAACATGTGGTCTGATCCCTTGTCCCCAGCAGTTTTAGAGCACTTTTCAATATACTTTCTACCCTAGGCATGAGGAGGAAACCTGACAGCCCTGCTGGGCATTTCATTCAGGAGATGGAGGGCTATCTGGGGGTACACAGGGGACACCTCATGTGTTTCCTCTGTGAGGGAAATACTTTCATCATCTTCCAAAATAAAAGTACCAGTCTGACAAGATGCAATTCCCTTGACTGAATCCCATCCAGTAAGGCCCATCATCTAATGGCCAGTGACCAGGCATATGAATTCTCTCTTCTCAGAGACTGATAAGGGAGTCACAAATCTATTCCTTGAGCCCTGAGGGTAAGAATAAAACAAGAACTCTCACACCTCCCCCCCACCACAAATCAATTCATTATTTATCAATCCCTTCCCATTCCTAGGAGATGATTTTACACACGCGCGCGCGCACGCACATACACACTTCACTGGTGATCATCATAGATGTCAGCCTGTGATGATGGCGTGGAGAAAACAGACTCCTGAAATTCTTTGATAAAAATTACAAGTGGATTCTTGGCTATTTCAATTCCTACTAAAACAACAACCGCTTCTCAACAAAGACATCCCACTTGGGACTTCCAGAAAGAGAACAGAAATGTCAACAATACAGGGGAAGGATGGTAGCAACAATAGGAATCATTTCTTAAGGGCTTTTTCTCTGCCAAACACAGTGGTGCAAGCAGTGTTTTGTTTAATCGTCTAGGCAAAGGTGGCGGTGATATTAAGGAACAATGGTACTAGTGAAGGGGAAACAACAGCAGAGAAATCCTTCAAATCTGAATTACAGCAAAGGAACATTGTGCAGCAAGTCCTTCTCATTTCATCTGAGTTTAACAGGAACGTTTTCACGTTAAAGGGGAAACCACAGAGAAAACAACAGATGATTCTGAACCTCAAGAATTTAAAAATCCTCTAACTCCTTTCACCCTGTTTTGTTCTCCTCTGTCATAAAAGGCATGAGTCTGTTTGACCGAAGATTCCTCTCAAAGGGGAAGTTAGATTCATTTAAGAGGTTAAACAGTTTTGGGATCATGTACTGGGAAGATTATTTGAATCAAAATAAGAACACAAGGTTGTCATTCGATGCATGCTAGCTAGCCATTGAAAACTGAGCATGGTTTATCTGTGTCTGTTCAGGGACACAGCACTGCAGGCTGCTGGTCTGGTTGTACCAATCCCATGCATTTTTCTGTGCTCTATGGAGGACCTTCTTACTTATTTCCATTTTCCTTCAGGACAAAAATTGACAGGTGACTCACTGGCTTTTCTAGCTTCTGTGTTTTGCTTCTGTGTTCACCCTGCTTCTGGGCTTCCCTAGTATTGGTTAATGATGTTGTTTTATTTTGATGGGGCCCTTCCCATTGTTCATATGAATTTGACACATAAATCATATTCTTTTTGTCCCTTCTCTTTGGGCATACAAATACTGCAATGGGCTAGGAGTACAGCTCATGTGCAGATGGGAAAAACTGAGCTTCAGGGAGGTGAGGAATGATGTCTGCCTCTGGATGTGAGCCTGAAGGGGTACAGCTGAGAAGAACTTTGTAGTCACTTTTTTCCACTTAGAGAACAATGCTGAAAAACAGCCATTAATACAGCTTTCTTGAGTCATAGAAGATCTTTGTATTATTTGGGATGATCTTTCCTCAATTGTGTGAAGTCCAGAATATTGAATCCTATAAGAATATGGTCTAAGGATAATGCCCTCTTAGCCACTCTCACCTGATTTCACCCTTATTTTAGGAACTTTCAGGTGAACTCATACTTTTAAATCTCTCATAAGCTTTTCAAATTAATTTGGCATCTGATGAAAGTCATTATCATTTTGGATAACTGCTTTTCTTTCTACAAAGACAAAAGCAAGCAAAAAGTAGAGAACTATCTGCCAAAAACTGAGGTCACTGCAAAAGAGAAGGGCTGATAAACTCCCAGAGGCTGTTACATCCCTAGTGCAACTCATGAAGAGTCCACCTGCAGCCAGCAATCGACATGCTAAATTTTAGCAATGAAAGTTCACTCGAGCAAAATAATTTACCTTGGAGTCCAGTTGCTGCATGTATGACCAGAGATATTCTATATTGGCTCCGAAAGGATGGACATGAAGAAACGTTGATATGATACCTGAATTAAAAAGGCAAACATTGGAAATTATTCAAAGGCAAACGAGAGTCTTCGTTAAATAATGCTATCTAACCCCAGTGACTGTTCTGCCAGACTGAGTTATGGTCTTGCCATTTCCACCAGCCATCAACAAACATTCAATAATAGCACATTCTGAAGACAGTAAGAGTAACATGGCAAACAGAACACTTTATCTCCTGAAATGATAGTAGTTAGCAAAGCTAGACTCTGAGATAATATACAGCTGAATAAAGGTATTTCAAAACAAAGACTCCTGGAAGCATTTCAACTACCAATTTTATGCTTGATTTACCAATATAAAATTATAGTTATTGGAAGGATAAAATTATCTTTTCTTTCCCTCAGTGGACTTTGCAGTATGAAAATGGCTCATACAACTGTGTCAGAAATCACACTGCCTCATATTTTCCTGATAATTATTACAGTTGCCAGTTATGAAAAGTATTTAATCTATATTTCCCCCAACTGCCATTGAAGGAAGCCCAAATTCTTCCTGAAACATTTGCTGTTTTCCCTGGTTGTTGCTCTTGTTTAAAAGGAGCCAGCTCATTCTCCCCTTCTTGCTGCTGTAATTTACAAGATCATTTTAAAAGGTCAGGGAATGGATGGTTTGGCTGCAGTTTGATTATAAATCATAAGGCTTTTCCATCATGAAAATAAACTGTCAACATTGTACTGACAAATGAAAAGCTGGATGTTGGTGTCAGGAATGAAGTAAAAAGCATTACCTTCCTCTTCTCCCTGCTCCTGGATCCAAAATCAAAATAGTGAACATGAGGAAGTCAACTCCATAGACTATAGACTGTTTTTTGTTAAGAAGTTGTGCTCTTGCTATTCACAATAGCAAAAACACGGAATCAGCTCAGGTGTTCATCAGTGGTGGATTGGATAAAGAAACTGTGGTATATATACACCATGGAATTCTATGCAGCCATAAAAAAGAATGAAATCATGCCCTTTGAAGCAACATCAGTACAGCTGGAAGCCATTATCCTAAGTGAACTAGTGCAGAAATAAAACCAAATATTCCCTGTTCTTGTAAGTGGGAGCTTAGTACTCATGGACATAAGAAGGGGAACAGGAGACATTGGGGACTGCTAGAGGTGGGAGACAGGGACGAGGGTAAGGCCTGAGAATCTACCAATTAGGGATAATGCTCATTACCAGGAAGATGGGTTCAGTCATGCCCCAAACTTTAGAATCATGCAATAGGCCTCTGTAACAATCCTGCATATGTACCCCTGGATTCTAAAATAAAAGTTGAAAAAGAAAAAAAAGAAAAGTTGTGCTCAGACTGATAGTTTTTAGCATTCTATTAAACAGGTTTCACAGGTTTCAAGATGAATAAACGTGAGGGTAAGCCTTCATGTTCTGATTTTTGTGAGCCTTCATGCTTGGAAGCCAAAGGTCACAGGGCAGACCCTCACCTGAATAAAATGCAATCTGGGTGGGCACAGGTGCACCATTCTTGTACTAGGTCATCCTATATTTGTAGGTGACCTTGAATTGATCTGCCATAGGGTTTCATGGCTCCTGATGCTATGAGATGAGTGTCACATTTTTAAAGAAAAGTAACCTGTTCATCCTTAGGCTGAGACAGAGAACCAAAGGGGCTCTCCAAGACCTGTCTTCAGAATACTGCTTTTCCAGGGCTTCTGGAGGCGTACAGTGAGGTGGGGAGGTAGAAACAATTCCAGCATTTCCCTGTAAAGGTAGAGTTTCAGTTTTTAAAGACTGACCTGCTCTTTCTGAGATACAAAGAACTACCATTTTATTCTGAGCTTATAGTCTTCCTTTTTTCTTGTCAAAATGTCCTTTTTTGAAATAATGGCAATGGTAGAAGGTAATGATGGTACTTTAAAAGTATCTTTAAGTGGCAAACTAGCCACTTTTAATGTACTCAGGTAGCATCGTATTGGCCCCTCCCCTTATTTATTTACTTATATTTTAATTTTAGAGACCTGGCAGCTACTTCCCTGTGTCTGAAATTCTCAACTCTGGTGAAGTGGCATTGTAAGTAATTCCATTACTAATAAGAGTTAAAATACAAAAGCTCATGAGTGATTTCTTTCAAAAAATTAAAATAGAACTATTTAAAAATGATTACTTTCATTTGTATTTCTTTTTTAAACATTTTAATTGATATATAATAATTGTACATATTTTGGGGGTACATGGCATATTTTGAAACCTGTATACAATGTGTAATGATAAAATCGGGTAATCGGCATAGCCATCACCTCAGACATTTATAATTTCTTTGTGTTGAGAACATCCTAAATCTTTACTTTTAGCTATTTGGAAGTATGCAGTAAATTATTGTTAACTATAGTTTCCCTACTGTACTATCAAATACTGGAACTTAGTCCTGTTTTTTGAATGAGAGAGTAAAGGCTGAATCACAATTTGTGTAGAGGGAATCCTCTCTGTTTCAGGATGGTGAGTGGGGCTTTCACTGACCATCCCAGGTACTATGGCCACCACTTTCCACAGAGAGCCTCCCACAAGTGATGGGCAGGAGGACAGGGGAGGGAGAAGGAAGAGTCACCTGTGGCTTTGTGAGCAAGTGAGGGGGTGCTCCTAGTTGGAAGCTTTTTTTCTTGCCCACAGGGTTCTCCCAGGGAGATGAGGGGTGCTGCAAGGTGGGGAGCAGCATTCCTTGGATGGACATATGCTTAAGCAGCAGGGCTGAGACAGGGAGTGGCAGTGGCACTGCAGACTTTGGAGTGACAAGGGTGTGTAAGTCTCCCATGGGGAAAGAGGGCATAAGACTTAAGCAGTCTTGTGTAAACTACTCCAGGCACCCCAGCAAATAGATAACAGCATTTTTCTTATTATCCCTCCTGGACAGAGAGTCTTCAACATCTCCTGCATAACCTACAGCCTCTTGTAAATGCCCATGGGTGTTTGGTTATCAATTTAAATGTCTTTAGTAGGATGAATAGAACAAGTCAGAGGAGGATGGGGTGGGTTGGGGGAGAGGTTGATAACCCTTAGCCTAGGAGATCAAGTGTTGACATGGGTAATTTAGGGACACCAGAAATGGGAGGACCTAGAGTAGCCTCTTTTGTTGTACCCTCTGTGAACATGGATTTGCTCCTCCACTATCTGCTGTCGCCCCTGATCGTGGGTCTGTAACCCAAGGAGCTGTGCTCTTAGTCTTTGTGTGTTCTGGCTCCATATCCAGAACACAGTGTACATTTACAAAAGGTATATGTTGAATGTATTTATTTGCCAGAACTGGAAATTGCCAGCATACTTGTTTAAAATTTCTTAGTCTATTATTGATAAATGGGGATAAATAAGAACCTTAAACATTTCTACAAGTAGTAACAGATCTTTGAAAAACCAGGTAACTTTGAGGTATTATTCACTGGCAATTCCTACTCTAAACACATCCTGTCATGGATTTAGAAGGACAGACTAACTTGGATGTTTTGGGCAAGGAAAATCCACTATTTTGCTCATAACTAAGGGGAAAATGCTTACATGATTTCTGTGTACTTTTCTAAAATCAGATTAGAAATCCTGATGTGGACTGGAGTATTCTTTTAGGAGGGTATGCAGAACCATCTCTGTAGTAGCTGATATTAAGAAGCCATTAGGTTTTCCTAATAAGAGTTCAGCAATTGCCACTAGATATATGTAGGGCCAAGGCAGGCAGTCACATAAAGGCTTCCCAAGCTTTTCCTGTGGATGACAACCCAGTTATCCAGTGTTGTTGGAGACACAGCAGAAAGGAAAGCATGAGTCATCATCCTCCCCAGTAACTTGCCTCTCCTCAGCCCAACTCCCACTCCTGCATCTGCCCATCCCAGGAGCACCACAGAAGCATCAGTCATGCCACTTGAGAAAATGTTTCTAGGCCCTGTAATTTTGGATCAGGTTCATTTGAGGGGATCTTCCTAAATAAACAAGTAAAGCATCTTTGTAGCCCCTTTAAAGGAAGTGGGATATTCCCTGGTTGGAAAAAGGGTGGCTGTAACTCAAAAGCTAATGAAAAATACCACAAACCTGGAAAATTGAGGCTATCTTATGGTCCTCTGGAAGGGACCAGAAGGCTTGATAAAAGGAACACTAGGAATGGAGGGTGCAGGATTTAGCTGTTACTGAACTGGTGGCTCTCCAAAGGGATGGCTCAACAGTTGGTCTTGCTTGTTTCCATGGAGATGTAGAAGGCCTCCATATTTGAGAATGGGTTTCCAACAGTGGAAAAAAACATTTTAAGCAGCTAATTTTAAAAAGTTTTAAAAGAACAAAGGAGGTTGTCTGTACTATTGGGCTTTTTGCACATCTTGGAATCTTAAAAACTACTTTAGAAAGATACACTAAGTAGCTCTGGATGCCTGTGGCAAATCTCGTTAGGAAGTCCCATTTAAACTGGATACCCAAAAGCCCTGTGAGCTACTCCCATCAAAACCAGCTAGTTTATTTTCATTACTGGGCCTCACTAAGACTAAGGAAGCAGTATTTAAATTAGCCAAATAGTGCCAGATTTGTACTACTTCATCACTTATTTTATACTTTACACACTTAGCAGCCAGGAGGTGGCAAGGTGCCAGAGGCACAGCATTGTATAAAATAGGCAGAGGGCTGGTCCTGTGGAACTTTTATTCCACATAGGTGAGCAGCACAGATAATAAACACAAAGATGAAATATAAATATTTTTAGATAGTGCTTAGCACAACGAAGAAAACAAATCAGGGAAGAGGACAGAAGAGAAACCTGCAGCTTGCTGGAGTGCTACTTTACGCAAAGTGGTTTGGCTATGTCCCCACCCAAATCTCATCTTGAATTATTGCTCCCATAATTCCCACATGTTGTGGGAGGGACCCAGTGGAAGATAATTGAATCATAGGGGCAGTTTCCCCATACTGTTCTCAAGGTAGTGAATAAGTCTCACGAGATCTGATGGTTTGATAAGGGGAAACCTCTTTCACTTGGTTCTCACTTCTCTCGTTTGCTGCCATGTAAGATG